AAAAAAAAAAAAAAACAATAATAAAAATAAAAAAATAAAAAAAAATCAAGTTTCAGAACTAAATGAAGCATGTTTTATAGCATGTTTCTATTTGAGTAAGAATTTTTTTCTCTCTGAGGAGTAATGTGGGTGTGTGTATGTGTGTGTGTGTGTGTGAGAGAGAGAGAGACAGAGAGAGGGAGAGAGAGAGCGTACACACATAGTTTTATGCTGGTTATGTAAAGAAAATTTCTGTAAGGATAAAGGTAACTTTTATTGTGGTTGTACTCTAGGAGAGGAAGACAAAGAGTTCAGGTGGGGGAGAGATACTTGTTTTTTAAAATCTTTTGTTAGTGTTTGAATTTAAAAATCATGTGCATGTGCTTTTAAAATGTTAAATTTGTTTTAAAATGACATTGTACGTTGAAGTAACTTCATAAAAATTTTGGTAGCTATCTCTCCATCCTGTTATACTGCTTTTAAGTACTCAACTGATTATCAAAGCAGATGGAGGGCACCTTGGACCATCGGCTCTCGAGGGACGTGGTTAACAACAGTTGGATTGTGCAATTTGTAGCTAATGACAGTTTTGTCCATCACTGGGCACCACTGACAAAAATGATTAATTCTATTACCAGTGCAAGCCATGACATTTAGAACCACCTCATGGAGACTTATATTCTTAAAAGTCTGTAATGTCTAACATTTGAAATTATAGAATAAAATAACCATTTAAAGCATTTACTAGTTTTAATAATTTACCTGTTAGAAGTCAAAGTGGATATAAAGAGGAGATAAAGGATAAATGTTGCAATTGTCTGTGTATATGTATTAAGTTTCTTTAACCAGGTTTCACAATTCATAATATATTTAATTATAATCCAGTTAATAAACTGTAGGTTTTCTTTTTGTGTATATCCTCTGAGGGCATTCCAACCAAAGGAATTTTTTATTTCCTAATTTTCTTTTTAAAGTACACCTCTCATATTTTCTCTGGGCTCAAGTCACTCTATTTAAGCGAGAGAGGAACTGAGGTTTCCTTATGCTTCCCTCAAATCATTTTATTATCAAAAATCATTCTTTGTTATTGTCTGCATTTTATGTATGGTCTTATAGTCAAACTAGAAATGAAAAAGATGGGAAAGATTAGTGCAGTGATTTTTTAGGTCTTGGTATAAGATTTCACATGTCGACTAGTTCACTGAAAGTATTATCTATGTATTGTTTTCCTTAAGTCCAAATAAATTGCCTATCAGGGGATGTTCATCAAAACATTAGAATCAAATTTCTCAATGCTTCGTGTATAAGCAGAAACTAACATGGTAATTTAATTATTGCAGGTGGGCCTTGGGCACATCATGTCCAGTTTTGAAGATGCTGACACAGAAGAGACAGTAACTTGTCTCCAGATAACGGTTTATCATCCCGGCCAGTTGCAAAGTGGAATATTTCAGTCAATAAGGTTTTGTAACAGAGACAAACTCCCTTCCAGTGAAGTGGTGAAATTTGGCCGAAATTCCAACATCTGTCGTTATACTTTTCAGGACAAACAGGTTTCTCGAGTTCAGTTTTCTTTGCAGCTGTTTAAACAATTCAACAGCTCAGTTCTCTCCTTTGAAATTAAAAATATGAGTAAAAAGGCCAATCTGATCATGGACAGTAGAGAGCTGGGCTACCTAAATAAAATGGACCTGCCATACAAGTGCATGATCAGATTCGGAGAGTATCAGTTTCTGATGGAGAAGGAAGATGGAGAATCATTGGAATTTTTTGAGATTCAGTTTATTTTATCTCCAAGATCACTCTTGCAAGAAAACAACTGGCCACCGCACAGGCCCATACCCGAGTATGGCATTTATTCGCTCTCTTCCTTCCAAAGCAGTTCTCCTACAGAAATGGATGAAAATGAGTAATGAACACAGAAAGTCTCAGAGAAGAAATGTGAAGGACAAAGAACTCTGTGGATGCTCTGCAGACACTACTTATTAAGCGTTTGTTAGGGTAGTATGTTATAGTCATCTGTTGTGCTGTGAAATTTGGAATTTCAGTATTATCACTTTGAAGTCTGTAAATTGTGTTAGTCATTAACTTAGTCACCTGTTGTATTCCTGGAGCTACACAAAATTATTTTAACCGCTCATCTGTGAGGATTAATATACAAAAAGATATCCTTTGGGATGAAATAGTGTTCTCAAAATAAGGTTATATTATTTTCTTTTTCTGCTTGATTTTCATCTGTGTTTGCTTTGTTTTTGTAAGGAACCGTCTCTTGGTTTGGTCGCATTGTTTCACAGCAGCCATTTGTTTTCAAGGCCAAGGCTCCAGGCAGCTTGTTACCAGTGTTCGTAGCCTGTCAGCACTTGCAGCACCGGAGTACCAGAATAGGCTCTGGACTAGCGTCTGTGCGTCACTGTGGTTTTAGAATGGGAGGACTTACTTGAGGAATACTACCTTGCTTTTCCATGACTTCTTTTTACAGAATTGTAGTGTGTTTGCTCCTAAGATGACAGTTCTCTTTGTCTATGTTCAGCATCTAGGATAAATATTTAAACATTTTAAAGCACCACTGTGTTATGTTTAGAATTATTTGTTTACAAAATTAGAAGTTTGATTTTTATGTGTTATACAAAATTTTAAAATTTCACAAATTCACCTTTTTAATAGTATCCATGTACACAATAAAGACAAAGCTTAATTAGCCATTTTCGTTGAATTTATTTTTCTAAATAAGGGAAAGAACTGTTCTTGGGCCACTTTTCATATATAAATTTATGTGAAAATGTTTATAATAAATGCTTAAATATTTCTAAAATGTCAACTTTAAAAAGTATTTTTCAGTTCTTAATTTTTTTAAATTTAAGATACTTATTCAACTCCTCTTAACTAAGATAGTGAATGTTGAGTATAATGGTAACCATTTAGTTAAGGTAAATTGTAGCATTGCCAGGTAGTAAGGCTTACTGTACAATTTTCCAGGTAAACGAAATTTCCTATAGTAAGAGGTCCATATTTTTGTAACATCCTTTAAAAAATGCTTTTGTGAACTCTCCAGCCTCTTAACAAAACAGGCTTTAAACCTCTTCTTGATTCAGACCATCAGTCTATTCCTGGGCAATAGCATGTGATATCCAGCACCCTAACCCTGACTCCCCAGCCCTGGAACTATCCCAGTAGGGTGAAATATTTGTCCCTATGCAAAGTGGCCTGAATGACTCTTTAGTTCCTGCGTCTAGTTTTCCTGCTTATTCCCCGTGATGGGCAGAGTAATGATCCATCCAAAGATGTTCAGGTGTCCATGTGATAGTCTCCAGGACTTGTAATTGTGCTGCTACATGGCAAAGGGGAATTAAGGCTGCAGCTGGAATTAAAATAGATTATGCTGGATTATCTGGGTGTGCCCAATTGATCACCAGATCCTTAAAAGTGGAAGAGAGACAGATCAGTATGTCAGAGTGATGAGGTGTGAGGTGGACTTGACCTGCTGTTGCTGGGAGGAAGGATATCGTAAGCCAAGGAATGTGGATGGTCCCTTGAAACTGGAAAGTGTGCATTGAACATCTGGAAGCTGGAAAAGACAAACCCCCAGAAAGGAACAAACTCTTGTGGACACCCTGATTTTGGTCCAGTGAGATATGTTTGACTTGTTAACCTACAGAACTTTATGATGATAAATTTGTGTTTGTCGTAAGCCACTGCAGTAATTTGTTACAGCAGCAAATAGAAAACTAATATACTCCCTTTAGTCTAAGATTATCTACTACTGATTCTTTCTAGGATTAGAACTTCCTGTATGATGTGGATTTTTAGCCACATCACCCAGCTTCTTAGAATTGCTTACAGTGTGTAGTGTCATGAGAACGCCTTTCTATGGGTGAAGTATATATACTTTAATATGTACATACTGTCACATTTTGACAATTTTGGAAGACTTTCACCTCTGTTTCTTGTCTTTGAGGCTGATGAATGTGTTTCTAAGTTATAAATTTAATATTAAGGAATTCATGTATTATTGTTATTGAACCCAAACAATGTGTTAAGTAATATTTAGGGCCAGGAAAATCTCATGCTCATACGGAATAATGATATCTCCTAATGTATATCTTGGAAAGAGTTTTGTTCAACTTGATAAATATTAATTTTTTTTTCTATTTTTTCTCCTTAAAAGATTGGCAAAGGAGAGAGCGGGTTGCTAAATGTTTATTTATTATTGTTCTCCAAAGAATAAAACACTTTCCATAGCCCAACTCCAGTAGTAAATAATAATGAATGCTCCAATAATAAAGGAACAATAGATTAGTATTGTAGGGCTAAGGGCCCCACAGGGTCGTGGGGTGTCCCTTATGCTGTGCTGAGGCATAGGATCTGAGAAATAAAGAGACAGGACACAGAAGTACAAGGAAAACGCAGCTGGGCTCGTTGGGGGGGGATGCGGGGCACAGCACTTATAAGTGAAGACAGGCGAAGCCCTGAATGTCCAGAAGTGTGTGTATTTATTGGGTATAGGTTAGGGGACAGGGTAGTGAGTGAAGTCATCTTTAAGGATAATGATAGGGTTGTGAGCAATAAAACAAGGGGTCCACCCCCATTACATCACCTAGGCTAAGAGGTGGACAGTATGCAGCAAGGGGTCCACCCCCATTAGGTCACCAAGGCATGGAGGTGGGCCGTGTGCAGTGAAGAGGGCG